TAGCAATAATGAATAAACAAGCAAAGTTCATTGTAAATTTTTAATTGTTTTTTTATGAAAGGCCTAATATTTTTTTAGTTATTGTCTTTTTTGTCTGTTCATTTCATTTTGTTTTGTTTGCACATAAGATCCTAGTAGAGCCCCTGCTTATAATTTCTCCAAGACATTCCAAAACCTTCAGAGCAGAGAAGATAAACATAGATCTTGCGCAACCCTTTGTCTTTTGACTTTTTTAGATACCGGCTTTGGTGGGACTTGTGTCTGATCTATGGACATTAGATCTTATTACTGCAAACATACACACAGCACACAGTCTAGACTTATTAACAGCCTCTCAAGCATAATCCCTTGAGTTAAAGCAATCCCACTGCATCACAGAGGTGTAATTTACAGCGACCACAAGAGGTCAACGTAGCCAGGTAAAGGGTGTCCGTCAAGGTAAACCGTCCCTGCGAGGCTTCTTTTTCCTCTAAACTAATGGCACTTCTTTCCAGCCAAGCAGCTTCACGGGGCCATTTGTACTTTAGATAAATCATCTGACGCCCCTCGTCTGCGTCCGGAATAGCTCCTTTCAGATAGCAAGGTCAGGGGGTACATTCCAGGCCAAGGGTGACAGTACTGCAATCTAAATTAAGCGCCCAGAGGTGGCAGAATGCTGGTCAGCAATAGCTTCTGAGGTGGACTTCGCATTTGGCCTGATCACACTGCTTTTTCTCTTTGAGCTTATGAAGAAAACATATGGCAATGCCGCAAAAACAGACCCGGAGCACTTTCATATTGCAGTATGTGACTTATTGGCGTTTTCATCATTTGTTTACATAGCTAATGGAAAGGGAAAGAGCTATGAAGAAGATTCCATGGCCCTTACCTGGTAGGCAGCGTGCAGAGGAGAGTGAGAGAGTGAAAGGTGATCTTTTTCATTTACATCATCTCCAGGTCACGTCGGTTCAAGTTCACACACAGGGCAATCCAGGGCTTTACCCTGTATGGAGACACGCGCGCACACACTCCTTCTGCTGGCTTTGCTATGTAAATAGAAGCGAAGTCTGTTGATGCTGAGGATCTGGAGAGGAATATTTTATTCCTTCTCAGAGGGAAGGGCTCAGGGTATTGTAGACTGGGTGTGCATGGTTTTCTAAGAGAGGGCCTGGCCGTCCTTTCATGGAAAGTGAGCAAGGGGCTACTCTTCAAATCAGTTCTTATATGACATTTTCATACCTTCATGTTTCTGCTGGAAATAACATGTTTACACATTGTAAATTATAACATTTTAAAGTGTCTACAACTCAGACTTTTTTCTGAAATGGCTGCATCATTCAATCACTATGATGTAAGCAATTCAGAGTGGTTTGATGTGAAATGCTCAGTTCTAGAGAAACCAAATCAGAATTGTTCAGAGTGGTTGTGATAGGAACCAGACATCCAAAGTGTCTAATACCTCTTAAAGCTGCATCAGAAAAAGTTATTTCATGAAATAGTTATGAACACACTGCCTGGTGCATGGCATTGTTTTATGATAGTTTATGGATAAAAAAATAGGCCTAAAACGTAGTTTTTAAATGTGTTCATGATGGAGAGGTACATGCAGGCTATTGTAAAGCAAAATAATCCCCCAAAAATGTATTTTTTCAGATTTATCACTATTTTACCATTATTAATACTACATATTAAAACTCAGAAGGCATTTGTAGTTTCACTGGTCATAACTGATAGTAATAAATGATAAAATGCCTATGTTTGTCATAAGACTCACAACACCTCGTTCCTATCACCACCACTGTAAAGAACTCTGACTGAGTAACTATCGCTACAGTGAACCCATTTCACAGCAAACCACTCTAAATGATTTTGTTTACATCTAAATGATGGAACTATGCTATGTTGAAAAAATCAGTTATATTCACCTCTAATATCTATTCAGTTTCTTCTCAATTCACTGTAAAAAGGTACTGATTTCACTCAAAGTAGGTAACCTGGTTACCTTAAATGTTGAAGTTCATTGAACTTCAAATAATAAATGAACAGAAAGCAAAACAGATTATTATTGTGTTAACTTACTATTTGTAGTTCGGGTAACTAGAATGTTTAAGGCAACCAGGTTACTAATTTGTTTAAAACATTGAATCATTTTACAGTGTTAGCATAGCCAACAATCCATCAAACAAATTGATTTCCTTTTCTAAAAGAAATCCCACAATATATACAGCAACTATCAATGCTCTTTTGTTCCAGACTGAATCAGCTGAATACAGGCTCCAACAGAAATAGGGTTAATGGTTATACAATATGCTCCACTGCAATGGGGGCATTTGGGTCATCCCCTGGTCACATGCAGAAAAAATTGCAGTTGCATGCTCTTACCTGCTGGTGGAGCTGCTGACTTTGAACCTAACCACAAGTCTTGTATGCTTTCTGCATCACCAACATGCACAGCTGCTTGTTACTGCACAGGAGCTTTACAGTACAAATAACACCTGAAACAGCGCAGTGTTCAAAAACCAACAAAAGCTGATCCAGAACAACATGAAGAGGGGGTGCATAGTTGTGGGCTGTGTAATTAATGAAGCATGGAAATGAAAAAAGGGGGTTATATGAATGCATGAGGACAACAGATCATGTCTGAAACGGCCATTGAAGGCACTGCAGGCCATGCCACAGGGTCATTAGAGCAGCCCTAATAAGATGGTGTCCATTTAGCCATTGGGCCATTACTGCAAACAGTGCTAATTAGGCTTCCAGCACAGGGAAGCAAAGTGAGGAGGGAGGTGGAGGGGTGATGAGGAAGGGGGGGGTCTAGGTCTTTGATTACAGTAGGAACAACATTTGCCACGGTCGCCATAACGATCCTGAAAGCTCTCGCTCTCGCTCTCTCTCTCTCTCTCTCCTGTTACAGACGGAGTTTAATCAATACACTGTCCTTCATCCTGCATTCGGGCCTGACCTTGGCAGGCTTTTGTCTCCATTTCAGGGGGCAGAGAGCACATGTATGCAGCCACAGGCTGAGGAGAAGAAACAAGGGTCCCTAGCAAATCCCTCCATGCTGAGAAAACCCTGAGCATCCAAAACAGCTCATTAGGAGCCTAATGAATCATATGTTTATTGGGTTTCCTTATCTTAGCCTAATGAACTGACGCAGCGCTCGGGCTCATTTGCTAAATTACTGGACGCACTTAAGGCGATAGGTGTCAGAACCTTGCGTGGACAGAGCACTGTCACAAGGCACGGTCTGTGTGTAAAGGCTGCTTCTGGATGAAAAGCAGTGCAAAACAACATTCAGCAATTAATCAGAGTGTAACCTACAAGCCAAATGATAGAAGGAAAAGATGCTCAAATAAGCACCAAAAACACAGAAGTACTGCATAAAATATCAGATACCAGTCTGCTAAAAATGGGGGTCACCACATAAACTGCTCACACTTGCCTAATAAGCAATTGTTTTGCTTTCTTTCGAAGAAAGTATTGAGAGCCTATCTTGTTACTGGTTCATAAAATTAAAAGGTATACATGGGCCATATTCTACATTTCATGTATTTTATAATTTCTTCCTAAATCCACCTTTAATATGTGGTTTTATGTCCCAAAAACAATTTCTTACACGTACATTTTCTAACATCTCCTTGCCTTTTACAGTTAAACAGACTGTTGTTGTGGCTGTGCCTTTAAATTTAAAATCAAGGAAAAAATAGCACAATCCTTAAAAGACATTCTTACAATACACAATATGTATCACAATATTTTGACACACAGACCCATATAGGCCACTCGTGTCACATTTTAAAAATGTTATCCAAAATTATGAATACAATGATTTTTATTTAACCTTTCACACACTGCACTGTACCAGAGACATTTTAAAAGAGGAGACAGGTCACTGGTTGAAATATGAATCAGAAAGCTCATATGGCATCTGTTTGCAGAGAAAATCCCACTCTTCAATAAAAAGAGCCAATCAGCTTGCTGGTATGCTCAGTTGTGGAGATCAGTAGCCAGAACAAGAGCTGAAAAAACACAGATTTTTGTGTATTTTTTGAGTCAAATGCTATGAAATATTTATGAGATTTTGGTCAGATTATACCAGTAGTTTCAAACGTTTTTGGCCTTCAGATTTGAATATTTAGGTCTCTCTTCATTCAATATAGGAGACTGGTTTTGTATTGCTAGAAATAGCTGCCCGGAAAAAAGGTTTCCCAAAAAAAAAAGCATTTTGATTACTAAATCACAATCAAAATTTAAACAGAACTAAATTTGCTCTCTGTAATGAAGCATGCAGCTGGTCAGTGTTTATTAAGCACTATCGATATCAACGAAACACTCAGAAATACATATTATATATCCTGATGATAAAAACTACGATAATGATAAAATATCATCATACTGCCCAACCTCTATATGTAAATGACATCTGTTCTGGTAAGCTGCTTTGTATTGCGCCTCGTTCACAAAGCAGCCTGGGCTGAAATGTATAGAACAAATTGTTCAAGGAGAATTCTACTGGTTTTACAAAATTTCTACATAATTTAATCACTGAGATGTAAACAAAGTCATTCAGGGTGGTGTGATGTTAAATGGTTCATTAGAGACAAAGTCACGGTAGTGGTGATAGGAACCAGGGACTATGATATCTACAATGTAATATAGGCATTACATTTACAATCTAAAAGCACTACCAAACCTACATGTGTCTTGTGAACTTTAAAATATGTAAATCTGGAAAATGTTTTTATTTGGGTACTATTTTGCCTTATATAATGTTGTTTGGCCCCTTTATCAGTTTAAGTTCATCCTTTATTAATCTATGTCACTTTGGCATGTCTTGTAAATCCTCCTATTAAATTTACTGAAATGTATCAAAAGTTTGACAGTGCTACATAAAACACAGCCCAAAAAGGGATAAAACATCCTGGCAACAGCAATCACTGGGAGTAAAAGCCTGATTACTTGCTGCACATAATCATAAGGAATAATCAAATCGTAACTAAAAATATCAAATGTCAAGTGGGCGGGGGGGGTGAAAATAAGAATTTATTGCACCATGTGCATTTAATACCAATACAAATTTTACAAAAGGTCACTGAGAAACAAAAACATCAGTGTATTAACAGCAAACTAAAATAACATAATACCAACAGGAAACACTAACTTCCACTTGTCACATAATTCAGAAGCTCTTTCACATCTTCCTCTTCTGGGTGCTGATGTATAACACTAGAAAACAGAGACAAAAAAATGTATTATTAGGGTAGAGGGGATACATACAGTGCCCTCTACAAATAACGGCACCCCTGGTAATCATGAGCAAAATGAGCTGTAATTACAAAATTTAACTAAAGTTTGTTAAGGAAAAAAAAAAAAACACTTCTCAAATCTATATGTGCCACAATTACTGGTACCCCTTAAGAGTGAAATCTAAATGAAGTGTTTTCCTATTCATATGTTTTAAAGTTAACCCAAGTTATTAGAAACACTTAAATTGTCAGCCATGAATTCCTGTTTACCTAGGAATATATGAGATGAAACACATGCCAAATGCCCTCAGTCATCCATCGTAATGAGGAAGGCCAGAGAAAATAGCAATGATGTGTGACAAAAGGTTGTTGAGGGGCTTAAATCAGGAAATGGCTACAATAAACAGTTAAAAATGCCCATTTCCACTATCAAGGCAGTAATTAAGAAGTTTAAAACAACTGGAGATGTTACCAACCTGCCAGGAAGAGGACATATTTATACTGCCCCCACGCAAGATGAGGAGAATGGTTTGAGTGGACAGAGAATCTCCAAGGATCACAGATGGGAAATTGCAGAAATTAGCTAGGCCTTGTGGTCAAAACGTCTCCCAAACTACAATCAAACAGCACCTATATAACCACAAGTTGTTTAAGGGGTTGCCAGAAGACAGCTTCTGCTGTCAAGGATCAACAAACTCAAGCTCCTACAGTTTGCCAAACATTACTGGAACTTTCAGTGGGACCCTGTTCGATGGTCAGATAAGACCAAATTAGAGGTTTTTGGCAACAGAAAAGTACCTCACCCCCCGTGTAAAATATGGTGGTGACTCTGTGATGTTGTGGGGCTGTTCTTCTTCCAAAGGCCCTGGACAATGTATTCAGTTACATATTATCAAAGACTCCAAGTACCAGCAGAAATAAAATCAAAACCTGACTGCCTCAGCCAGAAAGCTTAAACCAGCCATAGTTTGGATCTTCCAGTAGGACAGTGATCCAAAGCACACCTTATAATTAACACCAAAATGGTTCACTGTCCACAGAATTAAGGTTTTGCCATGGCCACCCCAGTCTCCTGACCTAAACCCCATAGTAAACTTGTGGGATGAGTTGAAGAGGAGAGCCCACAGTGTGGACCTTGGAATCTGAAGGATCTAGAGAGGTTCTGTATGGAGGAATGGCCTCAGATCTTTTGCCATATGTTCTTCAGTCTCATTAAGCTTCATAGGAGAAGAGTCAGAGCTGTTATATGCACAGAGGCTGCACCCATGATTAAATGATAGGGTGGCAATAATTATGGCACACATAGATTTGAGAATTATTAACAATTATTGTACTTTTTTTTCAATTGATTAAAGTTTTTTACATTTTGGTCAATATTTTGAATAATAGCTCAAAAGGATAAGCAATAAAGTATGTTTTTCACAGCCTGTTTTGCTCATGTTTACCAGGTGTGCCAATACTTGTAGAGGGCACTATATGACAAAACACGTTATGTATGTCACCCTAACTTTTGTCACTTGTGTTGATTTTGGTAATATTAAATTATCATCACATGTTACTGCTGAAAAAGTCAGCAAAGTGTCCCAAAAACTCAGCGTGAGAGTCAGTAGAGCAATCTAAGAGTTTTGGTACAAATATAACTCAAAACAGTCCAGCCAAAATCGGCCAGGAGAACATGTTGTAATCTGCCTAAGCTTAGGTCAGCAGAGACAGACAACACAGCAAAGACAGATAACAATCAAACCCAGCTGTTACACGATCATGATTTTCAGTGTGAGACTGAATCCACAGTGGAAAATCCTTACAGTACAGCTTTTTCTGGTTACCCATCGAGAAGTACAGGTCAATACAACATCAATAACTGTAGGCCTAGTGTTGTACACATGCGAATATTAAAAAGTTGTTTTTTTTTATGGCCTACCATTGTTTCCTCTGAGAAACGCATCTCCATACTTATTCTTCAGCTGACCATTGACATACTCCTCTGTCTGCTCCACAGCTATGTTCATGTAGCCATCAAGACAAGCAAGAACACCTGCGAACGAATATCCATAAAGAAAACTTCAGCAATTCATGAAACCCCTGCTATATAACCTGACTCATGTGTATCAAAGGAGGAAGGGACAGAAGGCCACAGCTGATCATCAACTGTATTGTGACATTTTATGCCTAGATCAAGGTGATTCAGAGCAGAGAAAACATCAGAATGTTTAGTGCTGAAGCTCCTGCTTTTATACAAATAATTGAGCAGTGACATTTCTAATATCTCATATTAGTTAAACAAGTTCTGGGCAAGACCTTCATGAGAAAAGGTAAGGAGATTTCAGGATAAAAACCTTTTATAGGACTCACTGAGCTGTACCTAAACAGTTCTCCAACAGTTATCAGAATTCAGCACAGCACCTGCTGTCTACAATGACTGCCCACTGCATTTAGCTACAAGATGGAGCTATGTTAATTGTTTTTAGCTCAGTAAGTAATACTGTGTTCTAAACCATATTAACAAGTCTCTAAGACCTTAATGAAGACCTGGATGTAGTCTGAGCATGCTGAAAGAGTTTCTGGAATGTGTTTACAAAGATTATAGGTGACTATTGACTTCCAGTGTTTGTTAGCAACATTAGCCTTGTAGCTCCAGCACTAAACTAAAGCAAGAAAGTTTAGACACCAAACCAGTCTTGGCTGATTGACTACATCTGGGGTAAGTGAAAAACTGTAAATTTCATTTTTCATCTTTATTTATACTATGAGGTACTACATTATCCTATAACACACTCAGCCTTTTGATGAAATAAACCTACATTGTGGATGCAGTGCCTGCATACAACCACTTGACTGAAGCTTGGCAGAGTAGACACTAAATTATGGTTTATTACGCTTGTTAGATAATCCAAACAGTGGCGCAGTTTCTACCTCTGTAGTCCACTCCAGAATTCAGTTTCACCACCACTGGCCTTCCAATTATCTGCTTCAGGAAGTCACTGGGGGTCTGCTTCCGGAGGCTCATTTTGACTATCAAGGAGAAATGAAATCACAGAGTGAGAACTAAAGCTGGACAGCTGCAGGGCTGCGCGGTTTCAAACAGACTTTGAAAAGCTCAAATGTTTAACATTTCTGGGCCCATATTCAGAATGTTTCTCACAGAAGGAGTGCTGATCAGGATCAGATTCCTCTCTTATTTAATAATACTATGACTTTACAGAGAGCACGGCAGCTCGGGAACTGGAGTAGTACAGAGCAAAGATTTGCATTTACAAATTTCAGTGACACTGAAACAACAGACATTTTGATTATGCTCATAATTTTAATGCGATATAGCTAAGCTACAGCGTAGGATAAAAAATGATCATTCGCTGTCAGCAACATTTAATGCAAACTTTTGTCCCTCTTCTCACTGTGATAGAACAATAGCTAAGCTAACTAGTTAGCTACTACATCGTTAACCAGACCCTCTCGTTAAAATGAATTAAGTTAAAGGAACTCAACGAAGCTTAAGTCAGCTTCTTGCTCTAATTTTCCCGTTCCACCTTAAATGTTGCTGCGGTTACTATCTGGCGACTAAAGCGCCAGAATGCAACTGCTGCACCATTTAAGGTGGAACGGGAAAATCGGAACAAGAAGCTGGAGCTGACCTTAGCTTCGTAGGAGTTCCAGCAGCTCTGACTGTTTTCACTTTAATGGTACTCTGGCTAAGAGAACTTCAGTTTTCTCAATGTCTCCAATTAGGAAAACGTTACGTAACGTTATTTGTAACATAGTTATATAACGCATGTAAAAAATAAAACGAACTACACTGCGGCAACACTCACTGTAACTAGCTGTTGTCCACACAGCTAACGAAGCCTCAAATCTGCAGCCGTACAGTGTGTTAAATGGCGTTATTCTGACGGAAAGGTCAAATATGTACACAAAGTGAAATTAAACCTCGGTTACTACAAGGAACTGTTTTATAACTCACATATGAATAAAACCGGCCTCTTTATACTCACGTTAGCTTAGCTCGGTTTAGCTTAGCGGCTACAACGTTTACTGCACGTCGACTCTGTGTTGACGGTCTTCAGCCAATCAACTGGCGAGAATAAACCAGTAATACGGAAGCCGTCGTGCGACATTTCGGCTTATGCGTTTCAAGTGTTATATGCGAAGGCGCAATTCGGTGTCTGAAAGGGGAAATCCACCAAGTATTTAAAATGTGTGAGTAATTCAATAACTAAAAGATATAAACAAAGTAGTTTGATGTAAAGAGCTACGTTGCGTAGAGGTATATGCAGGGCACTGTGAGGCAAATATATTACCTAAAGAAAACCTGTTTTTTTCTGATTTTCTTATGATTTACCACTATTTTTCCATTATCAGCATTACATATAAAACACAGAAGACACAAATTGGTTCACTGGTCGTGTTGGATAGTAAATAAAATGGCTATGTTTGTGATATAGAAGAACTCAGAACAATGCTTAATAAAACATATTGTAATGGTAATGCTAAGATAAATACTTATATTTGAAAAATATAATATTTTAATTTTAAAAAACAAACAAAAACTATACAAATTAAATAAATAATTAAATACATACATATCCAAAATAGCATCTTTGTTCACAATAGTCTTCAAAAGTGTAAAGAGAAAAAAAAAACTCTCCAGATTGCACATAGATGCTGTGCTGTTTTTGTATTTTTATTTTTTTTATTTATTTATTTATTTATTTATTTTTTACAAATGGATAAAAAAGTTTTTTTTTAGTTTTTAAATTGGGCAATGAGGCAGAGCTCATTGGTTAGTGTCTCCCTTGGGTTAGTTATTACCTCTGAACATAAGAGTCCTTTTTCCAGCACCTTTGACCACACAACCAACTTAAAATCTATAGATTCAAATGTATTTATTTAAAAATAAAGTCACTACATGAAACAGAATATGTCGAAAATACAGTTACTTTGAAATAAAGATTTAAAATAAATAAATAAACTTCCAAGCTATAAGGTACCAGTCAAGGTCATAGAGCCATGACTGGTCAGCATGAGATCTAGTCTATGACTGGAAAGAATAATAACTAAAACAGAAATAATTTAGTCAAAAATAGAAAATACAGCTAACAATTAACAAATAACTGTAACCTATTAGCATTATGCAAATGACATCATGCTAAGTGGTGGTTAGTAGCTTTAACTCACTGTTATTCACATTAGTATGTTTGGTCAGGCTATTGCTTTAAGAAGCTCCCTCTTGTTTTCTTTCATTTAATGGTCAGATTAGCCTCTCTAAGTCCTGAAGTGTTATTCTGTCCAGAAGAATGGACTGCATGATAGTAGAATCTGCAGAGCTTTAGAAAGGAGGATGTATTTGGAGTAAACAGCGAGGAAAGAGCAAGGCTGCAGAGCAGTGTGTGTTGCTCTTAGGCAGAGCAAGGCAGGAACCTGAGAGGCAGAATCATAAAGCACGTCTGGCGCATCCAGACAGTTTGCTTGTTAGCGGGGCATGGCGAGCCCTGCGGAGGCTAGAGGTTAATTTGGTATCTGGCGCCGTGTTAAACTAAGGTCAGCGCTACAAGTCCTTAAGTCATAAACAAGTGTGGTTAAGAACCGCGTACACACCTAGGCACAGGTTAATGAATATTCAATGAGCAATATTTTTTTTTCTCTCGTCGCTTCCCTCGGTCTGTGTCCGGAAGGGGTTTCGAAAGAACAGGGCTGGCTTTCTTAATCAAAGCAATCGTTCGGTTCCTCGCAGTGAGGTTTCCGAAGATCCAGCAGGAGTTGATAATAATGGAGCGGTAGTAGGAGCTACTGTCATAATGTTGTGAGCTGTATGACACACACACATATGCAGGCACACACACAATATTGACCTTCTTGGTGTACTGCAGCTCGGTCTTGACTTTATTGGAAGGGAGCCAAGAGCCTGGCTTGTTAAGTGATACTGAATGAAAACACAATGGAGCCGTGGAGACACAACTTGGGTTTCACGAGCTTTTTCTCTCCGCCATTGTGCCAGTTGCCTGGAGAGGGAACGAGAATGTTTCCCTCCGTCTCTACTCACAAAGAGAAGACATTTTAACCTTATTGACCTGTCCTTCTGGACCAGAGCAGCTCTGCATTTTCACATTTTCTTTCATGATGAAATGAATAAAGAGATTGGCGATCATCACTGACTAAGGGGGGGGGGTTCCATGCGAATGCAAAACTAATTTGGAAAAACAAAAGCAAGCCTTTGTAGTGGCTTATAGCACAGATGACCCTTCACACACACACTGGGGGCAAGCCTTGGAAGGGTGCCCTGAGCCCTGACCGGTGTGAAAGCGGTAACTCAACAGTAATAGCTGCCCGGCGAGGCCAGATGGGACTGTTTTTCGGGCCTGCCTCGGAGACACCGGGGGGTGCTCAGATGGACAGTGGCACAGTTGATTCGCTGGCACAACCTGCTTCACCTTTCCAAGCCCCTGAAGACCTGAGAAGGAGGGGAGGCGAAATGAAAAGATTACAGAGGGAGCTGTAGCGGGGTTAGAAAGAGGAGGAGGGGGGTCAATAGGAGCTGAGGAGAGAAAAATGGAGGGGGGGTATCCCTCAGCCGCCGCAGGCATTTACTAGGAAGAAGACAGAGGGGAGGCATGGATGGAGGGATGGAGGAGAGAGTCTAGACTAGGCTGACCTTCGCGGGCGAGGGCTTTCTCTCCGGGGTCAGCCTGGATATGGAGGGGGGGATATAATGGAAAAACCTCGAGGGAGTTTTCAAATGAAAACCAGATTGGCTGCTGGCGTGTACTTTTTCTCCTCCACCAACCACCCCCCCACCACCACCACCTCCCCTCCATCCGCTCTCTCCCTAATCCCCACACTGGATGGAGGTAATAGCTTAGAAATGATGGGGGGAGAGCGTCGCCTTGATCAAAAAAATGAACAGCGGAGCCTCACTCGCCTCTCCTAACACCCAGATCCATCCATGCCTACCCTATAACTGAGCAAAGATAGCACGCGTGGTTATGGACTGCAGCCAAAATGTGATTCCAAGTCTCCGGCTGTGGCCTCGAGCCCTGTGTCAAATATGTGTCTGATGCGAATTTGTATAGAGGCTTTATGTCTGTTTGAAATGGGATCGTGTGAATGTGTGAGATGTTGAGCCACATTACTCTATCACACACCGTATATTATATCGGCCTGATGTCATCATCTCAAAGGGCCCACATCATTTTTTAAATATGTTTAGATAAAAAACAACAAGTTGGATGTTCTGTGTAAACAAGTTAAAACTGTCTATACACTGAATATATGGAAACTAAGCTGCCTGTTTTAAATTCATCATGGTTGTGATGTCACAACCATGAACACATTTACACCTGGCTGCTTATTCACAGTTTATCTCGCCCACTCACAGCACACAAGCACATTTTAGCCTGGATCGCTTTCCTGAATTAACCATAATACAGGGCAGCTAGTCATTTACATACATATAGTCATATGCAAATGTTTAAATACAACCAATCAAACGACACGTATTGCTGGTTTTCCAATTTTTTTTTTCCAAAAAAATTAAACATACAAATAAAGTATAAAATATAATATAAAATTTAAAAACGTTTGCACAGGCCAGATTTCTGTTTTATTTTCATTCTAGTATGTAAAACTTAGCAAATAAACAGTTATTGTTGAGTTAAAATGTGCAAAAGTGTGTTCTCTGTAGGCGATGTGTTCACTTATTTTCACTTAGAAAATAAAAAAAAACAAAAAACAGAAAGCACATGTAATTTGACCAGGGACGCCCGAGCTTTTTCATACAGTCAGTCAGGCACAGTAAAAAAAAAATAAAATAGTAATTTAAAAGTAAATTACAAATGTTTATCATTCATAAAACCATACAAACTTAAAAGGGGAACTCCACAGATTTAGCAAAATTACTTTATCAAATAATGGTTTAGATGTAAATGCAAAGTGGTTCAGTGTGAAATGTACCTTTTAGAGAAATTTACCAAGTCAGATTCTTCACCATCATAGTACTAGGAACCAGACGTCCAAAGCATTTAATGGCTCTAAAAGCTACATGCTGTTATTACATAAAATGGTTATGAATGCATTGCTTGATACCTGAAACACTGTTTTGTGATTGTTTTGTTATGAAGTTTTGGCGTAAATTGTATTTTTAATATAAACTATTACTCCAGGATTACTTCTGTGTTTCCTGTCAAAACCGCGTTCTTAAATGAGATCAGTGTGCACGAGCTAACATGCTTTTGTAGTTACTAGCCTGTAGGAGCTTTTGTTTACAATTTATTTTACAGTTTTCATATGTATTTTATGGAAGATGGCAAAGTGTGTGGAGAACTTCGATACGGTCTGTTTCCAAAATGTAGAGCCATATCGATTTGAACCAGAACACACAAATGACTTGCAGCAGCTTGAAGAAGAGAGAGAGTGAGAGAGACTGAATCTGCTGGCGCAGAAGCAGAACAACCCAGGGCGAACAGAAATTGATGGTGTCAAAAACAAACTACTTGCTACTCTGCTCACCAACAGGCGTACAGGGCGAAGAGGTAGACCTTCGAAAGGAAAAAATAGTACCCAAAAAACTTATTTTTTCGAATTTAGCACTATTTTATCAGAGTGACATTTAAAACCTTATAAGACATATGTAAGTTCACTGGTCATTTTTGATGCAGGTAAAATGGTGATATTTGTAGTGTAGACATAATGACGTCTGGTTCCTAGTACTATAATGGTGAACAATTTTGGTAAATTTCTCTGGGTGCATTTCACACCAAACCATTCTAAATGATTTTGTTTACATCTAAATGTTTGAATGATTAAGTAAGTTTGCAAAATCAGTGCAGTTTCCCTTTAAATAAATAAAATCCAACAAAATTGATATTGGTTTTAAAATTGATATTGGTTTTTAAAGAGAGCTTGCGGAAACTTCCACTGATGCCTGTAGAAAGTAGAAATGTAAAAAAGTAGCCTACACAAAAAACCTTTTGTAAAGTTCCACATAAAGTTTGGTCCGTGTTATTTACATAGGCTTCCTCCCTGAATTGCAAGATCGAAGTCAACAGCTCATAATAAATTATTAGTTAGGCCTGTCATTGCAGGATAGTGTTACTCCTGCTGAAGCTAATT